ACAATCTCTCCAGTCTCTGAGCCTCTGCACGTTCCCTTTTGGAATGTCCCCTTTGCCGTCTTCTAGTGACCTTCAATTTTTATTTGCTTCACTTCAGTGTGTTTCCCAGAGTTGACTGAGGCTAGGCAGACAAATAAATCCAAAGTTTGGGGGGATAATAGTGATTGGTTTTGTTTTAGATGTAGGCAATAGAAACAAAATATGCAGAAAAGGGAAGGACCAGGTTTTAATTTTTATTTTTTGAGACGGAGTCTGGCTCTGTTGCCTAGGCTGGAGTGCAGTGGCACAATCTCAGCTCACCATTACCTCCTTCTCCTGGGTTCAAGCAATTCTCCTGCCTCAGCCTCCCGAGTAGTTGGAACTACAGGTGCACACCACTAGGCCTGGCTAATTTTTGTATTTTTAGTAGAGACGAGGTTTCACTATGTTGGCCAGGCTGTTCTCAAACTCCTGACCTCGTGATCCACGCACCTTGGTCTCCCAAAATGCTGGGATTATAGGCATGAACCACTGCGCCCAGCCTAGGATCAAGTTTTTATACTCCTAGAAGGTTCTAGGTAAGTCCGTTCTACCTCAATCACTGCAGATATTCTCTAGGTCCAGAGGGCTGATGTAGTTACTGTACACCCCAGCCTGGGTCATTGGGGAAGGGCCCAAAGTAAGGGCACAGCACGCTCATTCTAGCTTCGTGGAAAGCAGCAGCTGCAAAGGCTCAGTTCTTGACCTGGAGCCTGAGCTCTATAGCTGAACTTCTGTATCTGCATTATCAAGGGGGTGCTGGAACAATTCAAGGTTTTTATGGGATTCCATAGCCCAAAGGAGACTAAGAAGCCCTCTCTAATTCTATCTCCTGTTAAAATGGGAAAACAGGCCGTGCACGGTGGCTCAAGCCTATCATTCCAGCAAACTGGGAAGGCCGAGGCTGGCGGAGTACCTGAGGTCAGGAGTTCAAGACCAGCCTGACCAACACGGCAAAACCTCGTCTCTAATAAAAACACAAAAATTAGCTGGGCATGGTGGCGTGCGCCTGTAATCCCAGCTACTATGTAGGCTGAGGCAGGAGAAGCACTTGAACCTGGGAGGGGGAGGTTGCAGTGAGCATCGACCGTGTCATTGCACTCCAGCCTGGGCGACAAGAGCGAAACTCTGTCTCAAAAAGAAAAAAGATGGCCGGGTGCGGTGGCTCACACCTGTAATCCCAGCATTTTGGGAGGCCGAGGTGGGCGGATCACAAGGTGAGGAGATCGAGACCATCCTGGCTAACAAGGTGAAACCCCGTCTCTACTGAAACTACAAAAAAATTAGCTGGGTGTGGTGGCGGGTGCCTGTAGTCCCAGCACTTTGGGAGGCTGAGGTGGAGAACCATGTGATGTCAGGAGTTAGAGACTAGTCTGGCCAACATGGTGAAAAACCGCCTCTACTAAAAAATACAAAGATTAGCCAGGTGACAGTGGCATGTGCCTGTAATCCCAGCTACTCAGGAGGCTGAGGCAGGACAACTGCTTGAGCCTGGGAGGCAGATGTTGCAGTGAGCCAAGATCGTGCCACTGCATTCCAGTCTGGGTGACAGAATGAGACTGTCTCAAAAAAAAACCCAAGAGATATGCATGAGCATCCTTTCCACCAAGAAACAGTTCAATCTTGGGCAAAAGAGCCTTAGGTATAAGTTGAAAATAACAGCATCTACTCATATAGAACACCCATTATGTTGCCTAGCTCATGTCATTCAGGGAAAGTGAGCTAATTAGTGGGTTTCTGTCACAGGGGTCTTCTGCCCCCCTTGAGTTCTGGGCCTAAAAGTGAGGCTGAGGCTGCAGCCTCCTAAGACATGAGCAGTTACAACCATACTCCCCAGCTGTGAGCCCTATCTGATGCTGTTAGGTGAAGGGGCAGAGCCTGTAGTGGCCGGAAGAAAATGTCACAAGCTCTCAGCCTCTCTCAAAGCCCTGGCCAAGTATAAAACAGAGCAGGAAAGTCCTTTCCCCTTTCACCCCTTTACTGCCCCAAAAGGAAGAACAGAGAACAGGGGCTCGCTCTTCTTCTGGGCTCTGTTGCCTCCCCAGGCCCTCCCCTGCATTAGACACAAGACACGGATGGCCGACTCCCCCTTAAATAGCTGTTTATTTGGCAGTGTGCTGGAAAGGGTGATGGACTTAGCATTCACAGACGACACCATACACCACTGTCACGAGGGAGGCAAGAGCGCGGGCAAGCCAGTCTGGAGCCCCGAGGAGGAGGCCCCCTCTTCAAGAGTGGGAGGGGGCGGGGCCTGGAGTGTTGGGGGCAGCCTGGGAACACCTCCGCTTAATAGGCGTGGTTAGAGACGAAGAGGGACTCGCTGGCAGCAGCCCCGGCATGACCGCTCGGGGTGTACTTTCCTTGACAGGCAAGGCTGTTGGCCTAAGCGGGGAGAGGGGTGGAGTTAGAAGGGTTCTTCTCCAAGTCCCGTCCACCCAGGGACCCTGCCCACCTCCTGCCTATCCTTACCAGGGCTCGCTTGACGTACTCCTCCTGTGCAGCCTTCAGGTTCTCCTTCTTCCCACCCCAGGCCTTCAGGGCAGAGGCCTGCAGGGCTCGGCCATAAGAGAAGGTCAGGGCCCAGGGCTTCAGCAGGGGGCACTTGTTAATGGCATTGAGGTTGATGGATGCCTCCTCCTCACTCTGGCCTCCAGACAGGAAGGTGATCCCTGTAGAGCAGGGGCGAGAGGCTGTGGTCAGAGACCCAGGAAGCTGGCAGGAGCTGGTGGAAGCTGCCATGGAAATCTGTCCAAATGGGCATAGGGTTGTGGGTAGAGCTCATCTACTGCCTAGAGGTCAAGATGACAGTGTGGGCCTCACCAGTAACAGCCGGGGGGACTGTGCGGCGCAGCGCTGTGACGGTCGCCATGGCAATCTCCTCATGAGAAAACTTCTGGGTGCAAGCGTGGCCTGGGGTGACCATATTGGGCTTCAGCAAGGTGCCTTCCAGGTAGATGTGGTGGTCGCTCAGAGCCTTGTAGACAGCAGCCAGCACCTGGAGCAGAGCAGGGGCGTGGTGGGGTAGTGGGGTGGAGGGGAGGATAGGGGTTAGCCCAGGGTCCTCGCCCAGTCACCTTGCACTGGTCAGGCAGGCAGTCATTTACCTTCTCGGTCACATACTGGCAGCGCTTCAAGTCATGGTCCCCATCAGGGAGGATCTCAGGCTCCACGATGGGCACAATGCCATTCTGCAGGGTGAGGGACAGGGTCACTGAGGCCTCCTAACCTGGAGTCCCACCTACAGCTCTCCATAGCCACTGGTTAAGACCATATCTTGATGATGCCAGGGACTCAGGCTTCAAAGCCCTCGGCAGATGACAGGAGACAGGCACCTCCTCAGATCCACCCACAATCCCTCCTTAGCCCCTCTGCCTCGAACAGTCCTTGAGTGTTCTCCAAGGGCCAAAGCTGATGCTTGCTTTGGGGGAGACAGGCATCATGGCAGGTGACTGGCAAGTTAACGACACTGGAACCAAATGAGGTGGGAGGTGGCCTATTGGGGACCTGCAGGCCCACCTGCTGGCAGATGCTGGCATAACGGGCCAGGACATTGGCATTTTCCATGATGGCGAGGGCTGAGGGGGTGTGTTCCCCAATTTTCAGCACACAACGCCACTTGGCGAAGTCAGCTCCATCTTTCTTGTACTGGGCACAGCGCTCAGACAGCCCATCCAACCCTAAGAGAAGACGGAGGGGTCAGAGCACGGTGGGGAGGGGCATGTGGTTTCCACTCCTCTCAGCACCCAAATCTACTCTGGCTGGGTTCGTAGGGCAGAGAATCAAACAGTTCTCACCTTGGGTGGTAGTCTCGCCATTTGTCCCTGCCAGGGGAACCACTCCCTTGTCTACCTGTTGGGGTCGGTATAACAGCATTAATACACAGGAAATGACCTCTAGTACCCTTCCCACTGTTGCCCCAGCTGGAGTACAGTGGTGGGATCTCAGCTCACTGAAGCCTCCACTTCCTGGGCTCAAGTGATCCTCCCGCCTCAGCCTAAGTAGCTGGGCGTGAACCTCTTTCCTCTTCTTTAGCCCCAGTCTTCCCCCAAATTGACTTAATCTCTTAAATTGCATCTTAGGGCTGGCAAATATTTTCACTTAGTTACAATTATTTAGTTACTTAAGCCGGGCACGGTGGCTCACGCCTGTAATCCCAGCACTTTGGGAGGCCAAGAAAAGCGGATCACGAGATCAGGAGATGGAGACCATCCTAGCTAACATGGTGAAACCCCGTCTCTACTAAAAATACAAAAAAAAAATTAGCTAGGCATTGTGGCGGGCGCCTGTAGTCCCAGCTACTCAGGAGGCTGAGGCAGCAGAATGGTGTGAACCCAGGAGGTGGAGCTCGCAGTGAGCTGAGATCGCACCACTGCACTCCAGCCTGGGCAAGAGCCAGGCTCTGTCTCAAAAACAAAACAAAACAAAACAAAAAAACTACTTAATATTTTAGTTGCTAAAATACTTAGTTACAATTAAATTAAAATATTTTCACTTAGTTCACTTAGTAACGATCCTCTGAGACAGGATACACTGGGATGTTATTTGACAACAGATATGTTGAGTGAATTGGGTGTCAGGAGACTGGGGCTCTGCCACTTACTCTGAGCAAAACACTTCACTTCCCTGAGCTTCTGAGATTTTCATCTGTAAAGGGGGAATAATACTGTTCTCTTAGAATTGTGAGGATTAAAAATGTCGAGTAAATGCCCTAAGCCTGAAGCAGGCTCCATGCAAGTCTCTAGGCCTCCAATCCAGCATTCATTCCCTGCCTCACTAACCTGGATTTCCTTCCTCCATTTCCATCTCAAACCTCACATCCTGAGGCCCTGCCCCTCACCTTGATGCCCACAACACCACCCTTGGATTTTATAACTTGGGGGAAGGGACGACCATCATCCGCCTTCTGGTAGAGTGTCTCGTGGAAGAGGATGACACCCCCAATGCAGGGGTTCACGCGGTCGTCAGCTGTCAGCAGCAGCTGGCGGTAGAAGCGCCGGTTCTCCTCGGTGTTCTCGGTGCCAATGGACTGCAGCCTCTTGGCAATGCTCCCTGGGAGTGTCACATGGGAATTAGGGGACCAGCCTGCCACTCCTAACCCTGCACCCTCCACCCATTCTGTCTCCTGCCCGCACCAGTGGACTCATCTGCAGCCAGGATGCCCTTGCCGGGTGCCACGATGCGGTGAGCGATGTCAGACAGCTCCTTCTTCTGCTCCGGGGTCAGTGCTGGATATTGGTAGGGCATGGTGCTGGTGGTAGCAAGTTCCTGGGTACAGGAAACAGGGGAAGGACTAGTTAGATGGGTTTCCCATCATCTCCCAATGAGCAGAGCTCCTCACCTGGAGGTCAGGGAAACGTTCCCTACCTCCCCTGCCCCACACCCAGGAGGCCCTGGGGCGCTTCTAGTCCCCAGCTCTCCGGTAGGCCCAACTTCCCTATACTAGGCCTGCCCCTGTACCTTTCCTAACTCTGTCTGGTGCTGGGTGTTGCCCAGCTGAGGGTGGAGTTGCGCACTGGCAACTGGGGGAAAGGAAAAGGCCACAGCCATAGACAGGTGGGTCATGTTGAAGCTGGACCCTTCTGGCTTGCGCCTTGCCATGGGGTCACCTTGCCTGAAAACAAAACCGAACCGGAGTATTTTAGAATGTAAAGATTGAATCGAGCAGAGGGCCCAACACCCTCGTGGGAAAGGGCCCAGATAAGGGAAAAGTCTGTGCTTCAAGCCACACAGCAACCCCGGAGCCAGATCTGAGATTAGAACCCAGCTCTTCTGACTGCCACTGGGGTGTTCCTTCCAATCCACCCAAGATCCCAGGGCTGGCCCGGGCTCCAAGTCTTCAAGGACATCCCAAGGTCAGGCTTTTCCCCACAAGGGAGGGGGCAGGTGGTAGGAAAGGGGTATTAGGAAAAAGATAAGAGAGCAACGAGAAGCCCAGGAAAGGGCGGCGGAACAAGCCCTAGCCCGAGGCAAGGAAAGCGGTAAGCTTTGCCGTCGTCACTGTTCCTACGGGGCAAGCGCCTTCCCCAGAAAAATGCTCCTGTCGCTTCGCACGGCTGCAGCTGTTCCGGGCTCAGAATCAAGGTCGCCCGATAAGGAGAGACAGGGAAAGTGTTAATGGGGCATCAAGCACCGCCAAGGGGTTTCCCCTTCTCACGAGGGGCGGCCCGTTTCCCAGGGCAGAAACCAACCTCCCGCTTGCGAGAACCCTGGGGCTGTACACGGGCCGGCCCCCACCCCTCAGTGGCTCTTAGGATCCCCGCCAGGGCTAAGGGGCCCTAATCCTTTGCCACAGGGGTCCCTGCAAGAAAAGGGGAGGGGAATGGTCCTTCATCTCATCCGGCTTCCTCCCCCGCCATGACTCAGCACGCGCTGCCGCTGCATTGCGCAGTTATGGGACCTCAGGCTGGAGGAGCCGGAGAGCCTGTGTGTGGCTGGTAGTAGGGAGACGCTGGCATGGGGTGGGGTGCTCCACGAGGACGCGCAACCCGCCACTGCCCCCAAGATTCCTCTCCAAGGTCCCTGGTCCCTGCACGTGAAGAGGGGCGCTCACCTGGCACAGAAGAGGGGCGGGTGTGCAGGGTGCGGCGGCAGAGGGCGGCGGGCTGGCGAGTGGACTCAGGGAGCGAACGCGGCACTCGTCACCAGGACCCCTTCTGCGGCGCGTTCCGAGAGGAACGCAGCCGATTCAGCCTCGGAGGGGGCGGCGCAGGGGGCGGGAAGGAGGAAGGCAGCGCCTGGCCTTTTAAAGGCACCACTCCGCCCTCCGCCGAGCATTTTCCTTTACGAGGAGCGGGCGGCGTCCAATTGCAGGCGATAGACTGGGCTACGGACCGCCCCTGACAGGCGCAGCCCAGAGGCCGCGCTAGGAAGGGGCGGGCGCCGAGAACACGATCCCTCCCCACCCCCCTCGGACGTGACTCGGGCCACATCCCGTGGGTCGCCAGCTCCCGCCCCTCCGCTCCTTTCCCCCCAGCCTGGTGCGCTCTGGGGCGCCGTGACTCAGCCAGAATGTTGGCACTGGAGAAGGGGGAGACCGGGAAGTGGGGGATGCGGATAGAAGAGTCGGAAACGAAGGAGGCTGAGTTTCGTCGCCTAGGCTGGGCCCGCGGCCCGGGACCGCCCCAGCTTCGGGCCTCGCGGCTGCGGCACGTGTCACCATCGGGGCCACATCGCGCAGTCGTGCCTCAGCCTGCCTCGCCCGCGGGCTGGATCCGCGCGGAGCCGATCCCCAGTCACTGGCCCAGGCGTAACAGAGGCGGAGGAAAGGGCAGCGAGAGGACGCGCAGGCAGCGCGAGAGGGCAGCAGAGCTGGCGCAGCGCGGAGGCGAGGCCTCCCAGTGCGAGCTCCGAGCGGGCGGGCCGGGTCGCGCATGCGTGCGCGCTCTCTGCCTGGGCCGCCGCAGCCAGACTGGTAGTCTTCTGCGCCACCGAAAACCAGAATGCGCGGCTATGGACCGGCCGCTGCTCGGCCTCGGGCATGCGGGGCCACAGTTCCTGCCAAACGCCTTCCTTGCGCCTGACTTCCATCTCCAAAATAAAATCCGTCCCCGAACTGATCTGTCTCCCAGATGCTTAGCCCCCTGCTCCTACCGTCCAAGTCTCCCCTCCTCACCCGGACCCATCTGGACCCTGTCGGCCCAACCCCATCCCCACCCCGGCCCGGTCCTGCAAGGGGCCCACCTGCGGCAAGGCTGAAGGAGCCGGCAGAGCCTGGTCAGCAGCGAGTGAGCCAGGAGTGCCCGGGCTGGGTTATAAGGCGGCTCCTGCCCGCCCCACACGTGTCCCCGACCTTCTCCGATGACCCCTGCCCTTTTCCCGCCACGGATCCTCTGGCAGGGACCTATATTTAGGGAAACCTGAAGCCCCTGACATTCACACCAGCCTGGGGCCCGGCATGGAGGAAGGGGGAGGAAGCCTTGGGTCGGCCCTATTGACAGGGAGGGAGCCCTTGCCCACTCACCGGTGCTTCAGAGGAAATTTCTTCTTTGGAAATCCAGATGCAGGCCCTTGATTGTCAAGAGAAATAAATCTTTGGCCAGGGACCTGTGGGAGGGAAAGGGGTGAGGGGACTCAGATCACGTGGCCTCCCTGCCACCCTCCCTAACTCCTCTAATCTCTCTCCTCCCCAGACTCCCTGCCGTGATGGTGGCTGTTCTGATTCTCTGGAGCCCTGGTTTTTTTAAGAAGGAGAGCAGATACTGGCACTACACTCACCTCCTAAAATAACCGAGAGTCCGTGGACGGAGTGTGGTCGGGCACCCTTGTGTACCCGGTACTCAAGGGCCAGGCTCCTCCTATAACACTTGTGTGTGGTGAGCAGCGCCACCCCCCTGCCCACCTTCAAATAGAATCGTTGACGTGGGGAGGGGAAGGGGAGCCGGGACACCTGCCCGAGCAGTAGCCCCTCTCTCTTCTGGCCCTCCAGAGGAGCTGCCGTCCAGTTGGCCAAGAGTCCTGCCCTGCAGGGAGCCAGGCCCCGCACTGCCACTTCCAGTTCCCAGGCCTGGGTGCTGGGCAGGCCATTTGTGGTTCCAGTGGCCTGGAGAAAGGCTCTTCAGGGAGGAGGGCCCATGGGCCCTGGGGGCTGGCCACTCCCCAGAGGGCAGGGGCCCTGGGTTCTCATCGGAGCTTGATCTCGAAGCAGAGACAGTTGAGGCTCTGGCAGTCGGGGAGCTGGCACGTACAGGCACAGTCGCAGAGTGGGCAGCAGCGGGGGCAGCGAGGTGCCCAGTCCTGAGGGAGGAGAGAGGGGTGAGGCAGGTGGGATGGGGCCAAGCCTGTTACTCTCTAAGGGGAGAAGGGAACAGAGAGGCCTGGGAAGTTCCACTTGCCCAGTGGAACAGAGGGTACTGTCCATCATTCCCAGAAACAGGAGCAATTCCCTGTGCTATTAAAAAATCAGCAATGAGTCCTTGTTCTGAACAATTGAGTTCAGGAGCTAGAAGCAACGATTCGGGGTTCTCTCCTTCGTATTTTATGGGTGAGAAGACTGAGGACCAGAGAGCAACTGGCCCTGGGTCCCATGCTAGAATTTGGGCCTCCCGGTGTCAAGCTCAAAAGATGGCTCTGCTACAGTCCCGGGGTCTGTGCAGTTGAGGCAGTAGACAGAGAAAGCACATACATTTTTCTGTCCATCATGAAAATGACTTGTGGGCTTTATGGACTTCTTCAGCATGAGACCAAACTATAGGGTCTCATTCACTATTTTTGTGCATCTGCTCTCTGCAAGGAACAGACCGCATTCATGAATGATTTAAAAAATCTTTCCAGGTATCTTTGAAAATGGCAATTTACATATTTTTCTTTTCTTTTCTTTTCTTTCTTTTTTTTTTTGAGACAGGGTCTCACTCTGTCGCCCAGGGTGGAGTGCAATGATGCGATCTTAGCTCACTGCAACCTCCGCCTCCTGGGTTCAAACAATTCTTCTGCCTCAGCCTCCCAAGTAGCTGGAACTACAGGTGTGAGCCACCACACCCAGCTAATTTTTGTATTTGTAGTAGAGATAGGGGTTTCACCATGTTGGTCAGGCTGGTCTCGAACTCCTGACCTCAGGTGATCTTCCTGCCTTGGCCTCCCAAAGTGTTGGGATTACAGGAGTGAGCAACTGTGCCCGGCCATATATATATATATATATATATATATATATTTTTTTTTTTTTTTTTCGAAATGGAGTTTTGCTCCTATTGCCCAGGCTGGAGCTCAATGGCGCAATCTTGGCTCACTGCAACCTCCACCTCCAGGTTCAAGTGGTTCTCCTGCCTCAGTCTCTCAAGTAGGTGGGATTACAGGCATGCACCACCACAGCTGGCTAATTTTGTATTTTTAGTAGAGACAGGGTTTCGCCATGTTGACCAGGCTGGTCTTGAACTCCTGACCTCAGGTGATCTGCCCACCTTGGCCTCCCAAAGTGCTGGGATTACAGGCATGAACCACCATGCTTGGCCCATTTTTTGTAGAGACAGGGTTTCATCATGTTGCCCAGGCTAGTTTCAAACTCCTAGGCTAAACCTACCTCGGTCTTCCAACATGCTGGGATTACAGGCATGCGCCACTGCACCCAACCAATTTTAATGTTTTCAAAAGAATTAGATCTGTTTTTTTTTTTTTTTGTTTTGAGACAGAGTCTTGCTCTGTCACCCAGGCTGGAGTGCAATGGCAGGATCTCGGCTCACTGCAACCTCTGCCTCCCGGGTTCAAGTGATTCTCCTGTCTCAGCCTCCTGAGTAGCTGGAATTACAGGTGCCCGCCAGTATACCCGGCTAATTTTTGTATTTTTAGTAGAGATGGGGTTTCACCATGTTAGTCAGGCTGGTCTTGAACTCCTGACCTCAGGTGATCCACCCACCTTGGCCTCCCAAAGTGCTAGGATTACAGGTGTGAGCCACCGCGCCCAGCCTTATATCTTTTAATTATCAGAATCCTGAGTAATGGGCTTCTTTACAAAAGAGAAAATGGATGGCTGGACAAGGTGGCTCATGCCTGTAATCCCAACAACTTGGGAGGCCAAGGTGGGCAGATCACTTGAGGTCAGGAATTCAAGACCAGCTGGGCTAACCTCTTCTCAACTAAAAACACAAAAATTAGCTGGGCGTGGTGGCGTGCACTTGTAATCCCAGCTACTCAGAAGCCTGAAGCAGGAGAATCGCTTGAGCTTGGGAGGCAGAGGCTGCAGTGAGCCGAGATCGACCCACTGCACTCCAGCCTGGGCAACAGAACAAGACTCTGCCTCAAAAAAAAAAAAAAAAAAAAAAAAAGAGGCTGGGCGTGGTGGCTCATGCTTGTAATCCCAGCACTTTGGGAGGCTGAGGCGGGCAGATCACGAGGTCAGTAGATCGAGACCATCCTGGCTAACATGGTGAAACCCTGTCTCTACTAAAAATAAAAAAAAATCAGCCGGGTGTGGTGGCCTGCGCCTGTAGTCCCAGCTACTCGGGAGGACGAGACAGGAGAATTGCTTGAACCCAAGCAGTTGGGCGACAGAGCAAGACTTGGTCTCAGAAGAAAAAAAAAAAAAGGAAATGGAGGCATAGACAGAGAGGCAAGTGATGAGAATGGAGCTGGGATGTACAAGTCCTGCCTGCAATCCCCTTTGAGCCCTCTGCCTCCCAGCGCCAGGAGCATCAGCCTCTCTCTGGGTCTGCCAGGACGGGGGCAGCTCATCCCATATTCTCCACTGAGCTAGCACAGGACTCATGCTCAGCAGGCGTCTGAGATATAAATGAATGCTGAATGAATGGATGAATCTAAGCATATCATGTGCCTTCTTTAGGCAAAGAAGAAAGAAGAGGGCTTCTCAGCTCCTGAAGGAAACAAGGTCTGTCTCTTGGGGAATAGGAACAGCATGTACTTAGAGGCAAGAAGGGAGAACTGGTCTATCCAGTGCACTGCTGTCCTCCCCTGGGACAGGGATGACCTGCAGCTGCCTTAGGCATGGGCTGGAGTCAGGCCAAATGGCTGAAGTGGCCCAGGATGGCTGTGTGACAGGAGACTGGCTCCTTGAGGCCACAGGCAGAGGTAGTGACAGTCACAGTTGTACAGTTCAATCAGAAACTTGGCCAAGCCAGGAATAGGGGAATGACCTTTCCAGTAGCTGAGGTTTCGGGGTGTGGTGTCAGATGGCTGGTGAGACCAGATATCACTAGGGGCTGCAGTGAGGGGAGGGGACCTGCCACCTGCAGGGACAGGGGTCTGAATTGGGCTGTGTTACTGTCAACAGAACTGCCTCCTGGTGGGAGGCTAGAACTGTCATGGTGGAAGGGAGAGAGAACTGATTTTCCTGTGTTTGATGAGGGTGTGATTTGGGGTGTCTCTAGGGAGTCCCAGTGTGGGGATGAAATCGCTTCTGCGGGTTTTTGAAGGACCACACCATCATTCCGTGCACAGAACCCGTGGCTGAGAGAGGCTCTGCTGCCATTACCTCAGAAAAGAGGGTATTAAAAGCATTTCTTGGCTCTCTCCCTTAGAAGGGTTTAGATCTTGTCATTAATAACTGGCTAATGGATTTCTCAACTGTTACAAGCAGCCATGTGGCTTCTGGAAGGAATCTGCTGTTTAAGTACATTAAACAAGGACTCTGCAAGACTGTTAACCCTTGTGTCTCTCCTGGCTCTCAGGAGAGTTTTTCACTTGAATTTTTCCCGTTGACTCTGACAGCCAGCCATCATCATAGAGATGGTTAAAGCTCAGGCCCTAGAGTCAGTAAGGCCTGGGTTTAAACCTCAGCTTGGCTAATTCATGTTTTCAGCCCTCAGTTTCCTCATTTCTGCAACAAATATAACACCTAAGGCTGGGTGCAGTGGCTCACACCTGTAATCCCAGCACTTTGGGAGGCCAAGGCGGGCGGACCACCTGAGATCAGGAGTTCAAGACTAGCCTGGCCAACATGGTGAAACCTCATCTCTATTAAAAATACAAAAATTATTTGGGAGGCCGAGGCGGGCGGATCACAAGGTCAAGAGATTGAGACCACGGTGAAACCTGTCTCTACTGAAAATACAAAAAATTTGCCGGGCGCAGTGGCGGGCGCCTGTAGTCCCAGCTACTCAGGAGGCTGAGGCAGGAGAATGGCGTGAACCCGGGAGGCGGAGCTTGCAGTGAGCCGAGATCCCGCCACTGCACTCCAGCCTGGGCGACAGAGCGAGACTCTGTCTCAAAAAAAAAATACAAAAATTTCCGGGTGCAGTGGCTCATGCCTGTAATCCCAGCACTTTGGGAGGCCGAGGTGGGCGGATTGCCTGAGCTCAGGGGTTGGAAACCAGCCTGGGCAACATGGCAAAACCTCGTCTCTACTAAAAATACAAAAAATTAGCCGGGTGTGGTGGCGGACACCTGTAATCCCAGCTACTCAGGAAGCTAAGGCAGGAGAATCGCTTGAACCCAGGAGGCGGAGGTTGCAGTGAGCAGAGATCATGTCACTGCACTGCAGCCTGGCGACAGAATGAGACTCTCTAAAAAACAAACAAACAAACAAAAATTAGCTGGGCATGGTGGCACATGCCTGTGGTCCCAGCTACTCAGGAGGCTGAGGTGGGAGACTTGCTTAAACCTGGGAGGTGGAGATTGCAGTGAGCCGAGATTGTTTTACTGCACTCCAGCCTGGGCAACAGAGTGAGACTCCATCTCAAAAGAATAAAATAGGCTGGGTGCAGTGGCTCACGCCTGTAATTCCAGCACTTTGGGAGGCTGAGGCAGGCAGATCACAAGATCAGATTGAGAGCATCCTGGCTAACACGGTGAAACCCCGTCTCTACTAAAAATACAAAAAATTAGTTGGGTGTGGTGGCGGGCACCTGTAGTCCCAGCTACTGGGGAGGCTGAGGCAGGAGAATGGTGTGAACCCGGGAGGCAGAGCTTGCAGTGAGCCGAGATCTCTCCACTGCACTCTAGCCTGGGCGACAGAGCGAGACTCTCTTAAAAAAAAAAAAAAAAAAAGGAATAAAGTAAAATAAAATGAACAAATATAATACCTACTTCATAAGGTCATTTTGGGGAATTGGTGGAAAGAACTAAGCATGATTCCTGATAAGTAGTGAGTGCTGGACGAAAGAGAGTTGTTCTTGGCCAGGCGCGGCGGCTCACGCCTGTAATCCCAGCACTTTGTAAGGCCAAGGCAGGGGGATCGCCTGAGGTCAGGAGTTCAAGACCAACCTGGCCAACATGGTGAAACCCTGTCTCTACTAAAAATACAAAATTTAGCCGGGCATGGTGGCAGGTGCCTGTAATCTCAACTACTTGGGAGGCTGAGTCAGGAGAATCATTTGAACCTGGGAGGCGAAGGTTGCAGTGAGCCAAGATTGCACCACTGCATTCCAGCCTGGGCAACAGAGGGAGCACCGCACTCCAGCCTGGGCGACAGAGGGAGACCCTGTCTGGAAAAAAAAAAAAAAAAAAAGAAAGAAAGAAAAAGAAAGAGAGCTATTCTTATCATAGCTTCTTCCCTCAGCAGTGGTTCTTAAGCTGGTGTGCATCAGAATCATGTGAGAACTTGTAAAATATTCACAAACTCTAGCCCCAGCCCAGACCCGAGTGTGGGGCCTAGATGCCTGGCTTTCAAGTCCCATACCTGTTTCTGACCGCATGCGGGGCGAAGCAACCGCTGCTCCACAGCACGCCATTTCTCACCCTCTGTTGTAATGACCTAGTTATTTCTCTCTCTCCATCACCAGAATGGAAGCCCTGCGAGGATGGGGACCTTCTCTATCTTGTTTCTGCTGAGTCCCCAGGGCCCTAGACAGTGCGTCAACAGTAACTCCATAAATCTTTGGTGAGTGAGTCAATGAATGAACGAATGAATGAGAACCTTGCAACATGCACATGAAAGAAGCAGAGCAGGCCAGGCATGGTGGCTCACGCCTGTAATCCCAGCACTTTGTGAGGCCAAGGCGGGTGGATCACGAGGTCAGGAGATCAAGACCATCCTGGCTAACACGATGAAAACTCATCTCTACTAAAAATACAAAAAATTAGCCAAGTGTGGTGGCACATGCCTGTAATCTTAGCTACTTGGGAGGCTGAGACAGGAGAATCGCTTGAACCCAGGAGGCGGAGGTTGAAGTGAGTCGAGATCGCACCACTGCACTGCAGCGTGGGTGACAGAACGAGACTGTCTCAAAAAGAAAAACAACCCACAGAAGCAGAGCAGGCGAGCCGGCAGGTTTCTCCCTCAATAACGAAGAGAAACCTGGGTTTCTGTTCCGGCTGGTCCAGTCATATAACCTCCAAGTCACTCCAGCCTCCATAAGCCTCAGTGTCTACAGCTGCCACATGGCAAGACATTTGTAACCTTCCTGGCTGTTATTACAAGGAAACTGAAGAGGGAGGGACTTAAATGTACTTTGTGGAAAGGCAGCTCAAGGACAGAAAGAATCTGCCCCGCCCTCCACCCTGCTAAATCCCTTCCGAGCTCCAGCAGAAACCAGAGAGGATCAGGCCCTGATGTCTTCAGGTTTTAAAGTTCCTGGGGAAGGTGGGAGGGCCCAGTCCATCCTTACAGTGCACCTCACCCATCCTCTCGCCCAACGAGGCGATGAGTCCCTGGCTATTCACTTCAAGTAGACAGAAGGAGTAGGAGGCAGCATCCCCAGGACAGGGGGCCAGAAATCATTTTATAATGGAGCATCTCCTATAAGACAGGAGGTTGTTTTGTTTTGTTTTGTTTTTGAGACAGAGTCTCACTCTGTCACCCAGGCTGGAGTGCAGTGGCATGATCTCAGCTCACTGCAATTTCTACCTCCCAGGTTCAAGCAATTCTCCTGCCTCAGCCTTTCCAGTAGCTGGGATTACAGGCGAGTACCACCATGCCAAGACAGGAGTTTTCAGAACCCAAGGTCTCCTCCTTTTGCCCTTCTGCCGCTCAGCTCCAACCCTGGGACCCCTCTCCTGACTGCCCCTAGGAAACCGGAAGCCGATTATCTGAAAAAGTGCTCCTTGCTCCACAATTTACTTCAAAACTGAAAACACGCCAGGGATTAGCACCAATCATCGTGTACCTAGGTTATGAATTTGCTTTTATCCTCCCCTTCCGTCCTAGGGAAGGAAGGTCACCACTCCAAGGGCAGGCACTTTGCTGTCTGAATCTCTGAGCCCAAAATAATCATTCCTCAGGAAGGTGGTCAATTACATTTAACATCTTTAAACCCACAAATGCAAACAGGCCTGTCTGCAAGCCAGGCTTCTCCCCTGAGGATTCTACTTCAGCTAACGCTGTGGAGCTATTTGTGATGCAAGATTCTCCTGCGTAACACTCTGGAGAAGCCACAAAACTTCCCTAAGCCAGCTTACTCCCCGCTGCAGGAGGAGGACAGTAACCCCTACATGTCTGCACGCACAGGCACAGATAGGTGGCCAAGTGTGATGTCAGGTTAAAAAGGGCAAGTAGAGGCTGAGCCCAGTGGCTCACATTTGTAATTCCAGCACTTTAGGAGGCCGAGGCAGGCAGATCACCTGACATCAGGAGTTGGAGACCAGCCTGACCAACATGGAGAAACCCCGTCTCTACTAACAATACAAAATTAGCCAGGTGTGGTGGCGCATCGCTGTAATCCCAGCTACTCGGGAGGCTGAGGCAGGAGAATCACTTGAACCCAGCAGGTGGAGATTGCAGTGAGCCGAGATGGCACCATTGCACTCCAGCCTGGGCAACAAGAGCAAGACTCGTCTCAAAAAAAAAAAGGGCAAGTAGAGGCTGGGCATGGGCATGGTGGCTTACACCTGTAATCCCAGTACTTTGGGAGACTGAGGATGGCGGATCACTTGAGCCCAGAAGTTCAACACCAGCCTGGGAAACATCATGAAACCCCGTCTCTGCGAAAGATATAAACATTAACTGGGTGTGGTGGCATGCACCTGTAGTCTCAGCTACTCAGGAGGCTGAGGCTGAGGTGGAAGGATTGCTTGAGCCCAGGAGGTAGAGGCTGCAGTGAGCTATGATTGCACTACCGGACTCCAGCCTGGGTGACAAAGCAAGATCCTATCTCAAAAAAGGCTGGGGACAGGGGGACAGTAGCAGGTATGATGAAATAACCTACGTGATAGCACCCCATTTTTGCCAAATAATAGTAAAATACAGCAGTGATAGTACTGTATATTAGTATATGAGAGATACATATAAAACAGCAACTTTGGGATAGAGAGTGGGTTTGTAAAGTGATTGGTACTTTCCGTGTATTACTTTGTAAGTAATACTTTCTGTAATCAGAAAAAACATATAGGTTTTAAAAAATACCCAGCTCTCCAGGAGTTCAAGGCTGCAGTGAGCTGTGATTGTGCCACTGCAGTCTAGCCTGGGTGACAGACCAAGACTCTATCTCTAAAAAAAAAAAAAAACAAACAAAAACAGCCAGGCTCAGTGGCTTATGCCTGTAATCTTAGCGCTTTGCTTTGGGAGGCTGAGGCAGGCAGATCACCAGATCAGGTGTTCAAGACCAGCCTGGCCAACATGGTGAAACCCCATCTCTACTAAAAATAACAAAAATTAGCTGGGCGTCGTGGCACACGCCTGTAATCTTAGCTACTCAGGAGGCTGAGGCAGGAGAACCGCTTGAACCCAGGAGGTGGAAGTTGCAGTGAGCTGAGATTACGCCAGTGCACTCCAGCCTGGGCAACAGAGCTAGACTCCATCTCAAAAACAAACAAACAAACAAACAAACATGGCTGGGCCATGGTGGCTCACACGTGTAATCCCAGCACTTTGGGCAGCCAAGGCAGGTGGATCATTTGAGGTCAGGAGTTTGAGACCAGCCTGACCAACATGGTGAAACCCCATCTATACTAAAAATACAAAAATTAGCTGTATGGTAGTTGTGTGCGCCTGTAATCCCAGCTCCTCAGGAGGCTGAGGCAGGAGAATCGCTTGAGCCTGGGAGGTGGAGGTTGTGGTGAGCCAAGATTGCGCTACAGCACTCCAGCCTGGGTGAGAGAGTGAGGCCCTGTCTCAAACAACAACAAAAAGGAAGAAAGAAAGAAAGAAAAAAAAAAACAAAAAACCCAGCTCTGGAAGGAGGAAAGTAAAAAAAAAAAAAAGAAACTCAGTTCTCAGTTCTCAGGGTTGTTGGGAAAAACAATGAGGTCAGTAAAGAGGCCCTGTACCTGGAACATAGTTCATTCGGTGAACGGAAAGGAGCTGTGTGAGCTGTTTTTTGTTACCCACATCACCTTTCTCCGGCTGGCACCCTATTTTATTTTCTTCAAGTAGCTTTCACCAGACATTGTCTGATAGGTTGTTTTTACCTGTCTCCACCTGACTCACACCCCGGAACCGTGCCTGGCCTTGAGAAGGTGTTCAGTAATAAATGTTGTTGAGCAAAAAAATGAATGCACCGATCATACCTAGATCAGGGCTTAGCGGGGCAGGGGGTAGGAATGGAACTCACAGCTCCGGTGGGCTGGGGGCAGCAGGCATCCAGGAAGTGGGCCGGGCTAGGCAGAGGAAAGTCGCAGGCTTCTGCACAGGTCCAGCAGCAGTCTGGGGGCCCTGAGGCACCTTGCTTCCCGCAGCGGGAGCTACCGTCCGCGCAGCAGCCCTGGGCCTAGATCACAGGGTTCAGGATGTGGAACAGGCAGCAGATAGTGACAGCCAAGCCAGCTTTCCCAAGAGGGCAGGAAAAGGTTTGGCTGGGGACAGGAGAGGAGGGACCCCCTGGTACTATAAAACGGATAGATGCAAGGGCTAAATGTCAAGCGTCTCAGGGTAAGAGCCTGCAGATGAAGGGACAGGTTACCGGGATTCCTCTTCCCCAGAGCCCACCCTTTATCCCCTACCAGACCCCTCACCAGCAGGCAGTGCCTAGTCAGCAGGACTAGACCCAGCAGCAACAAATAGATGCCCACAGCGATGAAGACGATGGCAGGGATGGGGAGCAGCAGGGGAGGGCTGCTGACGGGAGCCGGGGTTGGATTCCATGGACTAGAGGAGGCCTGGACGAGCACAGGAGGAAGGGGTGACAAGGAGGTGGAGAGGGGTTGCAGGAACACGGGAATACCATGAGGGACGCGGAGGCGGGTGGGAGAGGAATGGCCACCAGATGGTGGGGAGAGCGTCAATGGAACTACACCCTGACTCATTATCTTGTGCCCTGAGCCTGCCTTTTTCCCTATCATTTCCAGTTTAGCACCATCAAGCACTTCTGCATTCTAGAGTCTTCTAGGGCTTACTGATTTTCCTTCCGGAATGCCTCTCCAAAGAGATCTCTTGTCTCTGACTCCCCTGCCACTCCTTTACCATCCCTCAGCCCACATTACTGGCCCCTGTCATCCAACCTGCAATTTTTCCCCTTTTCCATACCAGATGTCCTTGTGTATCCCTCCCTCCCTTACAATCCATCAATGGCTCCCAGTAACTCACTTAAAACTTTTTATTTTATTTATTTATTTTATTATTATTATTGAGATGGAGTCTCACTCTGTCACCCAGGCTGGAGTGCAGTGGGGCGATCTCGGCTCATGCAACCTCTGCCACCCGGGTTCAAGGGATTCTCCTACTTCAGCCTCCCAAGTAGCTGGGATAAAAGGCGCGCGCCACCACGCCCAGCTAATGTTTGTATTTTTAGTACAGAGGGGGTTTCGCCATGTTGGCCAGGCTGGTCTTGAACTCCTAATCTCAGGTGATCCACCCACCTCGGCCTCCCAAAGTGCTGGGATTCCAAGCATGAGCCACGGCACCTGACTATTTTTCTTAGAGACAGTGTCTCACTCTGTCACTCAGGCTGGAATGCAGCGGCATGATCATGGCTCGCTGCAGCCTCGAGCTCCTGGGCTTAAACGATCCTCCCACCTCAGCCTCCTCAGTAGCTGGAATTACAGGCGACAGCCACCACACCTGGCACTTAAAACTTATGTCAGTTACAAAATTCCCAGTTTAGTCCTGCCTACCTCTCTCCCTCCTTCTCTTCCAAACACATGATAGCCCTAGCAATTCCCCAAATGCTGCAGCCTCCCTCTCACCCCCAGGCTGTTTCCTCTGCCGGAAATGCCTTTTCTCCTGGATTACTTCGTCAACCTCCTCATCTTGCCAGGAATACCAGAAATGTGCTCTCCCGGGGGAAGTCCATTCCTGGCACTCTTCCTCACAGCTCTCGTCCTGAGCTGGCAGGGTGTAGTCTGTGTTGGGTAGAAGCCCCCTCCCCAGTCCCCGTGGGAAGTCCATTCCTGGCACTCTTTCTCACAGTTCTCGTTCTGAGCTGGCAGGGTGTAGTCTCTGTTGGGTAGAAGCCCCCTCCCCAGTCCGTGCTGGAAGGCAGGCTCAGTCGGGGTGAGGACAGGGCGCTGAGGGGGCTCAGAGAGGGGAAGGGGCCCGGACTTACGTCCATGGGGCAGGGCAGAGCCAGTCAATCCGGGAGCTGCAGAAGGAAGGTTCTGGGTCTCAGGGGCTGAGAGGCACCGTTAGACCGGGGTGCCCACCCTCCTTCCCTTTCCTGTTTGGGGAAACTGAGGCCATCGCTGGGCCGGAGGGTGGAATTCGGGAAGGGGAATGGGAGGCGGGGGATCCGAGGCGGCGCCTTCCTCGCAGGCTCCAGCGCGCCCCAGACCACTCCCCTCTTCAGTCCCTACACCCCGGGCTTCCCCGATCGGTCCGCCCCCATCACCTGCACCCTCGGGCCGCGGGCAATTCACGGATTCCGCGCCGAGCTGGGTCCAATAGGCCGAGGCACCGGCTCCGCCCAGAAGCCGTTCGCGGCATCCAGCTGTTGCCATGGTGACCAGAGCGGCGTTTTTTTTTACGGCGGCCGCCGAGGCCCAAACTCCCTCCTGCCGCCTCGCACCTCCCGCCTCCCGCCTGAGCTTCCGCTGATACTAGCTCTGCGCCGCTGCGGCCCTAGGGGCTTTTTCGAGGGGACCCAAGGGGAAGAGCGAATCCCGCCGTCGCCAGCCTAGGTCGGATCCTCATCAGATGCTGGACGTTGGAGGAGGCACCGGGTTGTGGGGCGCCACAGGAGGATTGAACCCCCAGGCTACACCGAAGACTTGGATGTATCTCCGGCCAAGCCATTGCGCATCTGCAAAAGGGAGAAAAGCCTGCTGCTCAGGAATATTGTAAAAATCAAAGCTACTTTTTATATTTTATTTTTATTTATTTATTTATTTTTGAGACCGAGTCTCGCTCTGTCGCCCAGGCTGCAGTGCAGTGGTGCGATTTCGGCTCACTGCAACCTCCGCCTCCCGGGTTCAAGCGAGTCACCTGCCTCAGCCTCCCGAGTAGCTGGGATTACAGGTGCGCACCACCACACTTGGCTAATTTTTGTATTTTTAGTAAAGCCGGGATTTCGCAATGTTGACCAGGCTGGTCTCGAACTCCTGACCTCAGGTGATCTGCCCGCTTCGGCCTCCCAAAGTGGTGGGATTACAGGCGTGAGCCACCGCACCCAGCCTATTTTTATTTTTTAAAATGTAGCTTTGGGCCCGGCGCGGTGGCTCACGCCTGTAATTCCAGTACTTTGGGAGGCCAAGGCTGGTAGATCACGAGGTCAGGAGATTGAGACCATCCTGGCCAACACAGTGAAACCCCATCTCTACTAAAAATACAAAAAAAAAAAAAGCCGGGCGTGGGGGCGGGCATCTGTAGTCCCAGCTACTTGGGAGGCTGAGGCTGGAGAATGTCGTGAATCCGGGAGGCTGAGCTTGCAGTGAGCCGAGATCTACCACTGCACTCCAGCCTGAGCAACAAAGCAAGACTCCGTCTCAAAAAAAAAAAAAAGTAGCCTTGAATGCCGGGCACAGTGTCTCACACCTGTAATCCTAGCACTTTGGAAGCGGATCACCTGAGGTCTGGAGTTCGAGACCCGCCTGGCCAACATGGCAAAACCCTGTCTCTAGTAAAAAAAATACAAAAATTAGCCGGTTGTGGTGGCGGGCGTCTGTAGTCCCCGCTACTTGGGAGGCTGAGGCAGGAGAATTGCTTGAACACGAGAAGCGGAGGCTGCAGTGAGCTAAGATCGTGCCACTGTACTCCAGCCTGGGCGACAGAGTGAGACTTTGTCTCAAAAAATATATAAATAAATACTAAAAATAAAAAAGTAGTGACGGTGTTGTGCTATGTTGCCCAGGCTGGTCTCAAACTCCTGGCCTTAAGTGATCCTCCTTCCTCAGCCTCTCAAGTAGCTAGAACCACAGATGCGTGCCACTGTGCCTGGCTAATTTTGTTTTTTTTTTTTACATTTTTTGTAGAGGAGGTCTCACTATGTTGCCCAGGCCGTCTTGGACTCCTGGCCTCAAGCAATCCTCCATCCTTAGCCTCCCAAAGTGCTAGGATTACAGGTGTGAGCCACCGCGCCCCACCAAAGCTACTTGTTAATTGTGTGGAATTATCAATATTTTTTTCAATCTGCTCCCACTGCTCCATTTTTACTCCATTTTGACAGCCTTCACATCACTATCAAAGTGATTTCCTACCACCCACATCAAATCTTGCTTCTTTTCCACTTTAAAACTTCCAAAGGCTTCCCACTTACTCCAGGAGAAAGCCCAAATGCTTTAGCAGACTGTCAACACCATCCACTGTGTGCCCTGCCTACCTTCCTTTTATTCATTCACAACATATTCAGTGGGTAACAGGCACTGCTGTAGTATCTAGCAGAGAATAAGGCAAACTTCCTGCCCTCATGTTGCTGACATTTTACCAGAGGAGGGAGATCAGGTATTAAATATATGTAAACAAATTAAATTTTGTACCCCCTTGGTTCTTTTTTTCTGATTTATTTTTTATTTTTATTTTTCGAGATGGAGTTTCGCTCTTGTCTCCCAGGCTGGAGTGCAATGGCACGATCTTGGCTCACTACAACCTCTGCCTCCCAGGTTCAAGTGATTCTCCTGCCTCAGCCTCCTGAGTAGCTGAGCTTACAGGCGACTGCCACCACACACACCTAATTTTTGTATTTTTAGTAGAGACAGGGTTTCACCATGTTGGCCAGGCTAGTCTCGAACTCCTAACCTCAGGCAATCCCACCTGCCTTGGCCTCCCAAAGTGCTGGGATTACTGGCATGAGCCACCGTGCCCCGCCTTTTTTTCTGAATTTTTAGAGATGTGGTCTTGCTTTGTTGCTCAGGCTGGTCTTGAACTCCTGGGCTCAAGCGATCCTCTAGCCTCAGCCTCCCAGGTAGCTGAGATTACAGGCATGAGCCACCATGCCTGACTTCCCATTGGTTCTTTCAACAGGATTTGCTGAAGCTTCCTGAACCAGTGTATAGGGTCTCACATTTCCACAGCTTTGCAGATGCTGATCCCTCTGCTTGGGACACCCTCTGTCTTCCCCTCAAACCTCTTCCTCATCCCTCAAGCATGTGCTCAGTTTCGCCTCTGTGAGGTCTCCCTACCAACCTCAGGCAGAGGTGGCCGCTTTGGGCTGTGAATTCCCACAGCATCATACAGATACTGTTGTTCTAGCACTTCTCACAAGATACTTGAATTCCTCACTTCCGTGTCTGGCTCCACAATTAGACTGCAAGTGTCTGGGGCCTGGTCTGAGTCATCTCCTTATCCTGAGCTCTAGTGCTTGGCCTAGCCCTGGGAGCCTTGGTGAATATTCACTGCTTCTTTTTCTTTCTTTCTTTCTTTTTTCTTTTCTTTTTTTTTTTTTGAGACGAAGCTTTGCTCTTGTCGCCCAGGCTGGAGTGCAATGGTGCGATCTCGGCTCACTGCAACCTCCGCCTCCCGGATTCAAGAAATTCCTCTGCTTGCCTCAGCCTCTGGAGTAGCTGGGATTACAGGCATGTGCCACCATGCCCAGCTAATTTTGTATTTTTAGTAGAGACGGGGTTTCTCCATGTTGGTCAGGCTGCTCGAACTCCCGACCTTAGGTGATCTGCCCGCCTTGGCCTCCCAAAGTGCTGGGATTACAGGCATGAGCCACTGCGCCCAGCCTATTTTTTTCTTTTAAAAAAGTAGACATGGGGTCTCGCTATGTTGACTAGGCTGGTCTCCCAACTCCTGCCTCAAATGATCCTCCCACCTTGGCCTCCCGAGTTGCTGGTATTACAGGCCAGAGCCACTGCACTCAGCCGATACTCACTGATTCTCTGAATGAATTGAAACCAAACACTATCCACGAATGAAGCATTGATTTCCACATGTCCTAATTCCCTTGGCTTTCAAGGCACTCAGCCCTCCCCGTTTCATTCCTAACCTTTTTAGATCACACACACACAGTTGCACACACCCACACATGCACACTCACACAAGCACCCCTCTCCATGGAGGCCTTCGACTTCCTACACGATGGCTGAATCCTGGCATTTTCCCCTAAAAACAATGCCACCATATACCTATTTTTGTCCACATTCTCCACTCCAACATACCTCACCACAGCTGCTGCCCCCGGGGTTTCCTACACCATGAGGCAGCCACGGAAATCGCCAGGGGCTGTGTCCCTGGATCCGAAATCTTCCCTCCCACTGTCAACCATACTGAGATGGTCTCAGCCACCCTCTTGGCTACCCCTGGCGTTTCAGAGGGCGTTTCAAGCCCAGAAAACAGAAATCTAGCTATCTTTAATGTCACCATTATTGATCCTAAAGAAGATTGCCTTCTTAGGCTGTCTTCTGTTTTTTGGTTTTTTTTTTTTTTTTTTTTTTAGACAGAGTCTCACTCGGTAGCCCAGGCTGGAATGCAATGGCACAATCATGGCTCACCACAACAGCTTTGACTTCCTGGCTCAAGGGATCCTTCCACCTCAGTCTCCCAAATAGCTGAGACTACAGGTGCATGCTACCACACCCAGCTAATTTTTAAATTTTTTGTAGAGACGAGGTCTCACTATATTGCTCAGGCTGTTCTTGAACTCTTGGGCTCAGGCAATCCTCCTGCCTTAGCCTCCCGAAGTGCTGGGATTACAAGTGTGAACCACTGTTCACGCTTGTAACAGGCCTTGGGCTGTCTTATTGGAATCCTGAGGACCAAGATGAGGCCAGTTCCCACCTCAGCCCTAGAAAAGGCCTCCAGGAACACATATTCTGCATATTCTGCCAACAGAGAGACATCAGCCTTGGCAAGGCCCCTGGACACGTCCGTGGCCTGCAGTGCCCAGACCCACTGGTGCTGGTGTTTTGTTCCTACCATGGGCTCATACATTATGCAGGAGTATGGGCAGTGCCCCAGGCCTGTGTTGCCAGGCAAGCCAAGACAAGGGATGATGTATACACCCCACTTTGCCAAGGCCCCATTTCTTTCTTTTTTTTCTTTGAGATGGAGTCTTGCTCTGTTGCCCACACTAGAGTGCAGTGGTGCGATCTCAGCTCACTGCAACCTCCGCCTGCCGAGTTAAGTAATTCTCCTATATCAGCCTCCCGAGTAGCTGTGATTACAGACACACGCCACCATCCCCAGCTAATTTTTGTATTTTTAGTAGAGACAGGGTTTCACCATGTTGGCCAGGCTAGTCTCAAACTCCTAACCTCGTGATTTTTCCGCGTCAGCCTCCCAAAGTGCTGGGATTACAGGTGTGAGCCACGGTGCCTGGCTGTGCCAAGGCCCCACTTCTATCCACATCACACCATTTGCTGGGGGCAGAGAGAAACTGACTTCACAATAGCCAGGTAACCACAAGGTCTCCTCTCCCTGAAGTTGGAAGCTGGAGAGGTCAGATAGTATCACATGTAGTTCCGCACTTCCCCTGGGAAAAGGCAGACAGGACTGTATACTTCCAATCATGGTGGGGTGGGTGGGAGATCAGAGATGCAGAGAATCCCAGAAGATGAAAGAAGCTTCAGCAGGCTTGGGCATGGGAAGGGACCTGGCAGTTCTGATTCTGATCTAATAATTTCAGCTGCCTCCAATGGACATCCAATGATATCATCTCCCAGAGATTAAGAAGAGGTTCAGCAGCCTCCTTAGTATGAAAATGAAAGGTTTGTGTTTAGGTAATTACCCTGGGGGAATGAAGCTGTGCCGAGCTAGAGCTGGTGTCAATAGACTTTATCTTACTTAATCCTTACAGGAGGCATGAGTGGCAGAAACAATTACTTCCATTTTATAGGTTGGAAATAATAATGGCCCAGTTGGAAACAAAATGAAACAAACCTTTAGGCCGGGTGTGGTGGCTCATGCCTATAATCCCAGCACTTTGGGAGGCCAAGGCAGGTGGATCACCTGAGGTCAGGAGTTTGAGATCAGCTTGGCCAGCATAGCAAAACCCCATCTCTACTAAAAATACAAAAATTAGCTGGGCGTGGTGGTGGGTGCCTATAATCCCAGCTACTTGGGAGGCTGAGACAGGAGAATTGCTGGAACCCACAAAGCGAAGGTTGCAGTGAGCCGAGATCGCATCACTGCACTCCAGCCTGGGTGACAGAGAGACTCTGCCTCAAAAAAAAAAAAAAACAAAACAAAGGCGGGGCGCAGTGGCTCACGCCTGTAATCCTAACACTGGGAGGCCGAGGCCGGTGGATCACGAGGCGAGGAGATCGAGACGATCCTGGCGAACATGGTGAAACCCCGTCTCTACTAAAAATAGAAAAAAAACAAAAACCAAAAACAAACAAACAAAAAATAGCTGGGCGTGGTGGTGCGTGCCTATAATCTCAGCTACTCGGGAGGCTGAGGCAGGAGAATCTCTCAAACCCGGGAGGTAGAGGGCAGAGGGTGCAGTGAAACTGAGATCGAGTCACTGAACTCCAGCCTGGGCGAGAAAAAAAAAAAAGCCTTTAGAACCAGGAAAGATCTGGATTTGAATTCTAGTTCTGCCACAGTGTATCTGTGCAACCCTGGCCAAGTCAACTGACCTCACTGAGCCTCAGTTGTCCTCATGTGGAAAGTGGTGATGACCCTCAGGGACTGGCAGGGCTTCCTGTGATTATTTGAGAAAATGTATGCAAAGTACATGGCATAGAACGAAGGCTCATTAAAATATATAGCCAGGTGCAGTGGTTCATGCCTGCCATCCCCCAGCACTTTGGGAAGCTGACGTGGAAGGATCGGTTGAGCCCAGGAGTTCAACACCAGCCTCAGAAACATAGTGAACCCCATCTTTACAAAAAAATAAGAAAAATTAGCCAGGCATGTTGTCTAATTTTTGTGTGCATTTATGGCCCAACTACTTGGGAAGCTGAGGTGGGAGAATCTCTTGAGCCCAGGAGGTTTTTTTGTTTGTTTGGTGGTGGTGGTGGTGGTGGTTTTTTTTTCTTTTCTTTTGGAGACACAGTTTCACTCTTGTTGCCTGGGCTGGAGTCCAGTCGTGCGATCTCACCTCACTGCAACCTCTGCCTCCTGGGTTCAAGCGATTCTCCTGCCTCTGTCTCCTGAGTAGCTGGGATTACAGGCACCTGCCACCACGCCTGGCTAATTTTTGTATATTTAGTAGAGACGGGGTTTCACCATGTTGACCAGGCTGGTCTTGAATTTCTGACCTCAGGTAATCCACCCATCTTGGCCTCCCAAAGGTCTGGGATTACAGGCGTAAGCCACCGTGCCAGGCCCGAGCCCAAGAGTTTGAGACTACAGTGAGCTATGATTGCACCACTCCACTCCAGCCTGGGCAACAGAGTGAGACACTGTCTCAAAAAAAAAAAAAAAAAAAAAAAAACCCCAAACAAACAAACAAACAAACAAAAAATTATAGGCCATGCATGGTGGCTCACACCTGTAATCCCTGCATTTTGGGAGGCCGAGGCGGGTGGATCACCTGAGGTCAGTAGTTTGAGACCAGCCTGGCCAACATGGTGAAACCCAGTCTCTACAAAAAATACAAAATTAGGCTGGGTGTGGTGGCTCTCACCAGTAATCCCAGCACTTTGGGAGGCCAAGGCAGGTGGATCACTTGAGGTCAGGAGTTTGTGACCAGCCTGGCCAACATGGTAAAACCCTGTCTCTAGTAAAAATACACAAATTAGCCAAGCGTGGTGGCACGTATCTGCAATCCCAGATACTCAGGAAGCTGAGGCAGGAGAATTGCTTGAACCTGGGAGGCAGAGGTTTCAGTGAGCTGAGATTTTACCACTGGACTCCAGCCTGGGTGACAGAGCAAGACTCTGTCTCAAAAACAAACAAACAAACAAAAAACCAAAACCAAAAAGCAAAAATTAGCCAGGCATGGTGGCACATGCCTGTAGCCCCAGCTACTCAGGAGGCTGAGGTGGGAAGATTACTTGACCCCTGGGGGCGGAGGTTGCAATGAGCCGAGATTGTGACTGATTGATTGATAGATCGATCGATCGATAGATAGATAGACAGACAGATGGATAGATAGACAGATGGATAGACAGACAGAAGGATAGACAGATAGATAAATGATACAACAGGCCAGGTTTGGTGCTCACGCCTGCAATCCCAGCTACTTAGGAGGCTGAAGAGGGAGGATCAGTTGAACCCAGGAGTTCAGCGCTACAGGAAGCCATGGTCATGACACTGCACTCCAGCCTGGATGACAGAGAGAGATCTCATCTCTAAATACATACATTTTTAATGACTATTAATGAATATCACAATACATATGTGTATAGCAACTGTGCTTTACACAGATCTCATTTTGATTAATGAGAGGTGCTGCTGTTTCATAGATGAGGAGCCCAAGGCTCAGAGGGGTTGAATCCCTTGCACAAGAACGCCAGGGTAGTGACTGGCAGAAGCAGGACTTAGGCCTGGCAATGGGACTTGGTGTGTGCTCAGTGGAAGCTCAGAGAGGTTGTGAAATTTGGCCAATGTCTCAACAGCCAGTCGATGTGAGAAGAAAGGGATTGGACCCTTAGCTGTCTGGCTGCAACTCACCTGCTGTGCCCTCAGCTTTTTCTGGTGTGCAGATAGAGGGTGGGACTGGCATTGCCTGGGACAGTCCCTAACCTGGGAAAGGTAAGTAAAAGTACTAAATAATAAATGGTCTGGCACCCCGGCCAGGACTCACCCCAGAGCCCAGGCGGGGGGAATCGGACCCTTCCCTGGGTATCACGTGGGAAACAGGCCACTTCTGGCCGCTTATTGTTTACTTATTCACAGCCTTCGATGATATCACACCTGCACACCTCCGCAAGGAACCCGGTGGAGAGGATGAGTGAAATAGCCTGTGGGCAGCAGAGCCTGGAAGAACAGAGAAAGGTAAACTCAAGGTCAAGGGTAAATTGGGTGGTGGGTCTCTGAGGACTGCGTGGGGGTGAGACTCGCCTGGGGAGACAGGCTAGGGGAAGGAAAGACGGTGGCTAAAGTCACAGAGGCCTGGATGGGCCCTCCTATACCCCTGCCCTGCACTGCTGCTCCATGCGTGGACTGCCTAATGCTTTCTGTTTTGTTTGTTTTTGTTTTGTTTTTGAGACAGGGTCTCCCTTTGTCACCCAGGCTGGAGTGCAATGGCGCGATCATGGCTCACTGTGGCCTCCACCTCCCTAGCTGAAGCGATCCTCTCACCTCAGCCTCCTAAGTAGCTAGGACTACAGGCACATGGCACCACACCCAGCTAATTTTTTTGACTTTTTGTAGAGAGGAGGTCTCACTGTGTTGCCCAGGCTGGACCAGTGCTTTCTGGCTGCACACCCAGGCCAGGACAGGCTGGTGTGTCTCCCTTCCTGGGCTGGGATGTCCTGAACACCCATTGACCACCCAACAAGGGTTCAGAGGGTGGGGTGCATCCCATCTTGGGTTTATTTTAGGTGGCATGGCAGCAAGAAAACACACACACAAACACACATACCACACGCAAACACACACACCACACACACGCGCCACACACACACCAACACACACACACCATGCACACACCACACAAACACATACACCACACACACAAATACACACCTCACACAAACACACACACCACACACACCCACACACACACACCATACATATACCACACAAACCCACCACACACACCAACACTCACACACCATACACACACCACACAAACACACCATACACACACCACACACACACCACACAAACACACCATACACACCAGTATAAAAACACACACACCACACACACCACACACACCAACAAACACATCATACACATACTACACAAACACACACACGATACACAAATACACACACACCACACATGCACCACACAAACACATACCCCACACACACCACACACCAACACACACCACACACACCAACACTCACACACCACACACACCACACACACCACACAAATACACACACCTCACACAAACACACACCAACACACACCAACACTACACACCACACACAATAAATACACACACACAGCTCACACACACACCAACACTACACACCACACACACAAATACACACACCAGCTCACACACACACCAACACTCACACACCACACACACAAATACACACACAGCTCACACACACACCAACACTCACACACCATGCACACACCACACAAACACACCACACACAAACACACACCACGATACTACACAAACACACACCACACACCAACACACACAATACATACACCACACAAACACACCATACACATAACACACACACAGCTCACACACACACACCAACACTCACACACCATACACACACACCACACAAACACACCACACACAAATACACACATACCACACACACACAAACACCACACATACACCCCATACACCCACCCCAAGAAACCCACCACACACACGCACACACACCACACACACCACACACACACACACCACACAAACACAACACACACCACACACACTGCACAAACACACCATACACCACACACAAACCACACACCACACACAAACACCACACACACACCCCATACACACCACACACCCCACACACCTCACACACACACCCCACACACCACACACACACTACGCACACACACATCACACACACACCACACACACACCACACACAAACGCCACACATACACCCCATACACCCACCCCCACACACTTCACACACACACGCCACACACACCACACACCACACACCACACACACACCACACACCACAATAATACACCACACAAATACACCATACACCACACATAAACCACTCACCACACACAAACACCACACACACACCCCATACACCCACCCCACACACCCCACCGTCACACACCCCCACACACCACACACACTATGCACACACACATCACACACACACCACACACACCACACACAAACACCACACATACACCCCATACACCCACCCCCACACACACCACACACACCCACACACACCACACACCACACACACCACACACACACCACACACACACCATACACCACACACAAACCACACACCACACACAAACACCACACACCCCATACACCTACCCCCACACACTCCACACACACGCCACACACACCACACACACCACACAAACACATCACACACCACACACACCACACAAACACACCATACACCACACACAAACCACACACCACACACAAACACCACACACACCCCATACACCCACCCCCACACACCCCACCACACACACACCCCACACACCACACACACACTACACACACACACATCACACACACACCACACACACCACACACAAACACCACACACAAACACCACACATACACCCCATACACCCACCCCACACACCCCACCACACACACCTCCCACACACCCACACAGACACCACACACACTATGCACACACACATCACACACACACCACACACACCACACACAAACACCACACATACACCCCATACACCCACCCCCACACACTCCACCACGCACATGCCACACACACACCACACACACACCACACACACCACACAAACATACCACACACCACACACACACCACAATAAACATACCCACACACACCCCCCATACACCCATGCCCACACACCCCACCACACACACACCACACACACACAAACACACCACACACACACCCTATACACCCACCCCCACACACACCACACACACCACACACCACACACACACAAATACACCACACACACACCCCATACACCCACCCCCACACACCACACACACCACACAAACACACCACACACACACCCCATACACCCACCCCCACACACACCCCACCACACACACACCACACACACCACACACACCACGCACACACACACCCCACACACCCCACCACACACACACCACACACATCACACACACCCCACCCTCCACGCACACACCACACACAGCACACACACACCACACACACCACACACACACCACAAACACCACACACACCACACACACACACCCCACACACCCCACCACACACACACCACATACACCCACACACCACACACACAAACACACACGCACCACACACTACACACACCCACACACCACACACACACACCACACACACCACACACATCACCACAAACACACCACACACCACACACACTACACACAAAACCACACCACACACAAAACCACACACCACACACACAAACACGACACACACACCCCATACACCCACCCCCACACACCCCCACACCACACACACCACACACACCACACACACACCACACACCACACACACACCCCACACACCACACACACACCACACACACACCACACACACAACGCACACACACCACACAAACACAACACACACCACACACAAACCACACACCACACATACACAAACACGACACACACACCCCATACACCCACCCCCCACACACCCCACCACACACACACCCCACACACCACACAAACCCACACACCACACACAAACACACACGCACCACACACACCACACACACCAACACACACACCACACACCACACACACCACACACACACAAACACCACACACACACCCATACACTCCACCCCCATACATCCCATTACACACCACACACACCACACACACCACACAAACACACCACACACACAAACACACGCACCACACACACACCACACACACCAACAAACACACCACACACACAAATACACACACACTCTACACAAACACACATACCACACACACACCTCACACACACACACAACACACACAAAAAACACGCACACCACACACACCAACACTCACACACCATACAATACCAAACACACACACCACACACAAATACACACACACCACACATGCACCACACATCACACACACCACACACCACACACACCAACACTCACACACCACACACACCACACAAACAACACACAAATACATACACACACCTCACACAAACACACCACATACATCAACAGTCACACACCATACACACACCACACAAACACACACACCACACACACAAATACACACACACCATACACATACCCTACACACACACACCACACACACACACCCCACACATGCACCACACACACACCACACACACATACCACACACACCACACACACCACACATACACCACACACACCACGCACACACACCACACACACCACACACCACCCCCACATCACACGCCACACGCACCACACACACCATGCACACCACACAAACACACCACACACACACACCACACGCACCACACACACCATACACCCACCCCCACACACCCCACCACACACACCACACCACACAAACACCACACAAACACCACACACACACCCCATACACACACCCCCACACACCCCACCACACACACCACACACCACACAAACACACCACACACACACCCCCATACACCCACCCACACACACCCCACCACACACACACCCCATACACCCACCCCCACACACCCCACCACACACACCACACACCACACAAACACACCACACACACACACCCCCCATACACCCACCCACACACACCCCACCACACACACCACACCACACACACCCCATACACCCACCCACACACACCTCACCACACACACACCACACACACACACACCCCACACACCCACCCACACACACCCCACCACACACACCACACACCACACACACCCCCATACACCCACCCACACACCACACACACACACCCCCATACACCCACCCACACACCCCACCACACACACACCACACACAGCACACACACATCACACAAACACACCACACACACCACACACACACCACACACACACCACACACACACCACACAAACACACCACACACAGCACAACACACACACCCCATACACCCACCCACACACACCCCACCACACACACACACACAGCACACACACACACACACAAACACACCACACACACACCACACACACACCACACACACACCACACAAACACACCACACACACACCACACACACACCACACACACACCACACACAGCACACACACATCACACACAGCGCACACACACATCACACAAACACACCACACACACACCACACAAACACACCACACACAGCACAACACACACACCCCATACAACCACCCCCACACACCCCACCACACACACACCCTGAACAAGCTACTCTCTTTCTCTTTCCAATTCTCTTTCAGCACTTCTGATTACCGCAGGAGAAAGTCTCAATTTGCTGCCAGAAACGCTTTAACACCTATCTATGCTTATCTTTTTGTTCTTTCTTCTTTTTTTTTTTGAGATGGAGTCTTGCTTTGTCGCCCAGGCTGGAGTACAATGGTGCAGTCTCGGCTTACTGCAATCTCCACCTCCTGGGTTGAACTGATTCTTCTGACTCGACCTCCTGAGTAGCTGGAACTACAGGTACACGCCACCATGCCTGGTTAATTTTTATATTTTTAGTGGAGATGGGGTTTCACCATATTGGCCAGGCTGGTCTCGAACCCTCGACCTTAGTTTATCTGCTCCTCCTCAGCCTCCCAGAGTGCTGGGATTACAGACATGAGCCACTGTGCCGGACCTGATCTTTCTTTCTTTTTTTTTTTTTTTTTTTTTGAGATGGAGTCTCGCTCTATCGCCCGGGCGGGAGTGCAGTGGCGGGATCTCGGCTCACTGCAAGCTCCGCCTCCCGGGTTCACGCCATTCTCCTGCCTCAGCCTCCCGTGTAGCTGGGACTACAGGCGCCCGCCACTTCGCCCGGCTATTTTTTTGTATTTTTTAGTAGAGACGGGGTTTCACCGTGTTAGCCAGGATGGTCTTGATCTCCTGACCTCGTGATCCGCCCGTCTGGGCCTCCCAAAGTGCTGGGATTACAGGCTTGAGCCACCGCGCCCGGCCATCTTTCTTTTTTTAACAAGGAGAGAGCCAGCCTTCAGTTCAGAATGAGCAGCTGCCGATAGTATCTAGCTAGAATGTTATAAAATGTGTTTTCATTTTTGTATTTTTTGTTACCTTCTGTTTATCACAGGTGGTACTGGTTTTCTATTTTCCAGAGTGATAAAAAGTTTCCTTTTGAAGTACATGGTAGCTGCAGTGGCTGTCTCCTGTAATCCCAGCACTTTGGGAGGCCAAGGCACGCAGATCACCTGAGGTCAGGAGCTTGAGACGAGCCTGGGCAACATGATGAAACCCTGTCTTTACTAAAAAAAATACAAACAATTAGCCAAGTGTGTGGTGGCAGGCACCTGTAATCCCAGCTACTCGGAAGGCTGAGGCAGGAGAATCGCTTGAACCCAGGAGGCGGAGGTTGCAGTGAGCCGAGATCGCACCATTGCCCTCCAGCCTGGGCAACAAGAGCGAAACTTCGTCTCAAATGAAAGAAAATAAAGTACATAGTTAGTTTAGCACAGTGGCTCATGCCTGTAATCCCAGCACTCTGGGAGGCGAGGCAGGCAGATCACTTGAGGTCAGGAGTTCGAGACCACCCTGGCCAACATGGTGAAACCCCGTCTCCACTAAAAATACAAAAATTAGCCAGGTGTGGTGGCACACACCTGTAATCCCAGCTACTCGGGAGGCTGAGGCAGGAGAATTGCTTGAACCTGGGAGGCGGAGGCTGCAGTGAGCTGAGATTGCACCACTGCACTTTAGCCTGGCAGACAGAGTTAAAAAAAAAAAAAAAAAAGAAAAAAAAAAGGACATGGTTAGGTCATGCTAACCATGGTGGCTCACGCCTGTAATCCCAGCACTTTTGGAGGCCAAGGTGGGAGGATCAGGCGTATTGCTGGATGGAGCTCAGGAGTTTGAGACAAGCATGAGCAACATGGCAAAACCCTGTCTCCACCAAAAATACAAAAAATTAGCCGTGCATGATGGTGGCGTGCCTGTGGTCCGAGCTACTCGGGAGGCTGAGGCAGGAGGATCGTTTGAGCCTGGCAAACAGAGGTTGCAGGGAGCTGAGATGGCACCACTGCTTTCCAGCCTGGACAACGGAGTGACAACCCCATCTCAAAAAATAATACATGATGGAAAAAAAAAAAACAAAAAACCCCACAGTCGGTGCTCTGAAAATCACATGACTTGGTTCAAATCCCCACTTGTGCCACTTTCTACCTGCATGACCTTGAGCAAGTCACACAACCTCTCTGTGCCTCAATTTCCTCCTCTGAACAGTGAGAGTGTGTCTCACCGGACACAGTGACTTGTGCCTATAAACCCAGCACTTTGGGAGGCCAACGTAGGAGAATGCTTGAGGCCAGGAGTTTGAGACCAACCTAGGCAACAAATCAAGACCCCCATCTGTAGAAAAAATTTTAAAAATAAGCTGGCAGTGATGAGTCTGAGAGCCTGTAGTCCCAGCCACTTGGGAGGCTGAGGCAGGAGGATCCCCTGAGCACAGGAGTTTGAGTTACAGTGAGCTAATGATGCCAGTGTACTCCATCAAGGGAGACAAAATGAGAGACCCATCTCAAAAATCAAAACAAAAACCCCAGTATGTCTGTCTTAAGATTATTGTGGAGATTGTATTAGTTAATATACGTAAAGGGCTTAGATTGCTGCCGGATATCTAGTAAATGCTCTATAAATGTTTGCTTTTTTTTTTTTTTTTTTTTTTTTTTTGGAGACAGAGTTTTACTCTGTCACCAGGCTGGAGTGCAGTGGCCTGATCTCGGCTCACTGCAACTTCCGCCTTTCAGTTTCAAAGAATTCTCCTGCCTCAGCCTCCCAAGTAGCTGGGATTACAGGCACATGCCACCGTGCCCAGCTAATTTTTGTGTGTGTGTGTGTGTCACCCGGGCTGGAGTGAGTGGCCAGATCTCAGCTCATTGCAAGCTCTGCCTCCGGGTTTATACCATTCTCCTGCCTTAGCCTCCCGAGTAGCTGGGACTACAGGCACCCACCACCTCGCCCAGCTAGGTTTTTTTTTTTTTTTTTTTTTTTTTTTCTATTTTTTAGTAGAGAAAGGATTTCACCATGTTGGTCAGGCTGGTCTCAAACTCCTGACCTCATGATCCACCCACCTCAGCCTCCCAAAGTGTTGAGATTACAGACATGAGCCACTGTGCCTGGCCTAATGTTTGCTCTTATTAGGTCAAATAGAGATAAACAACAACAATAACAAAAAACACCCATAACTGACCATAACTGAGGGTTTTCTTTACATGGGGAAACAAAGGTTTGGAGAAGCTAGAGGCTGAGTTAGGATCTTGGTAAGTTTCTGGATTCCCAGTCTAATTGCCAGCCATTTCAATCTTCAGTAATTAATATAATCTCTCAACTTCCACTTAATCACCTGCAAAATGGGACTAATCCTATCTCATTGGATGTTGGGATTGGTGTGTATAAAGGCGGGTCAGAGGCTGGGCACAGTGGTTCATGCCTGTAATTCCAACACTTTGGGAGGCTAAAGCGGGTGGATCGCTTGAGGTCAGGAGTTTGAGACCAGCCTAGCCAACATGGTGAAACCCCGTCTGTACTAAAAATACAAAAATTAGCTGGGTGTGGTGACGGGTACCTATAATCCCAGCTACTTGGGAGGCTGAGGCAGGAGAATCGCTTGAACCTGGGGGGCGGAGATTGCAGTGAGCCAAGATCGTGCCACTGCCCACCAGCCTGTGCAAAAGAGTAAAGCGCCATCTGAAAAAAAAAAAAAAAAAAATAAGTAAATAAGTGAATAAATACATAAATAAAGGTGGCTCAGAAAATGAGCATTAGCACAATGATGCCTTCTCAACTGGGATAATATCGCCCCCAAGGGGACAAAAAAAGCTTACTCTTTTTAATATGGAAAAGATATGCGTGAATAGACATACAGCATATCTGTGTTATTAAACTTTCATGATAGGCAGCGATTAGAAAAAAAAGTCTGAAAAGGGCTCCTCAGGGGAACAATAATGAAAGAAAAGTTGGGAAACGCTGCTCTCCAAACCAAGGTTTCTCTCGCTTTGCTTGTTTAGCCACTAGTGGGCAGTGAAATTGGCTTAATGGGTCATGATCAGTAGTTCCTGGAAAAATGATCTAGAAAATTCCACAGGGCACTGCATATAATGAGTCAGAATGTGTTGTGCAAAGGTTTTCCATTCAACACGTGGGTGGGTGAACTGCAGTCACAAAATAAAAGATATCTCGGCTAGGTGCAGTGGCTCACCTCTGTAATCCCAACACTTTGGGAGGCTAAGGCGAGCGGCTCACTTGAGGTCAGGAGTTCAGACCAGCCTGGCCAATATGGTGTGTCTACTAAGAATACAGAAATTAGCCGGGCATGGTGGCGTGTGCCTGTAATCCCAGCTACTCGGGAGGCTGAGGTAGGATAATCACTTACCCGGGAGGCAGAGGTTGCAGTGAGCTGAGATCGTGCCACTGCACTCCAGCCTGGCAACAGATAGAGATGCTGTCTCAAAAATAAACAAATAAATACATAAATACATAAAGAAACAAAATAAAAGATATCTCTTGTGGGTCACTATTTTAAAAAAATTTAAAGCCATTGCTCAAAACCACAATTTTCTCCTCTCATATTTTCTCTCTCAGACAAGCCTGTGCAGCCTTGGACTGTTTTGCCCTAAACAAGAAGAAATCTACAAGGAAAGGAAGAAATGTAGGAGAGAGTCCAGATTCCAGTGAGACTCGGGCCTGACTCTAACCAGCTCATGGCCTGGAAACTTTCCTCCCTTCCACATTTTCTTGTCCAGGGTAAGCACAGGTGCAGAGGAAAATGACCATCCCTGGTCACACACAGTGGCTCACGCTTGTAATCTCAGCACTTTGGGAGACTGAAGCAGGAGGATCGCTTGAGCCCAGGAGTTGAAGACCAGCCTAGGCAACATAGCAAGACCCCATCTCTAGGAAAAAAAAAAAAAAAAAAACTCCCCAAATTAGCCAGGTGTGGTGGCGCACGCCTGTTATCCCAGCTACTCAGGAGGCTGAGGTGGAAGGATCACTTGAGCCCGGGAGGTGGAGGCTGCAGTGAGCTGTGATTGTGTCACTGTACTCCAGTCTGGGCAACAGAGTGAGACCTTGTCTCAAATAAAAAAAATAAAAATAAATAAATAAATAAAAAGGAAAAGAAAATAACCCTGGAGGGGTGCTACTCCTCCTCACTCCTTTTGCCTCTTCTCCTCTCATCTGTTCTCTTCCCCTTTTTCCTTCTCCCATCTTCTCTCCTCCCCTCCCGCCTTCCCCTCTCTTCATCTCCTTTTCATCAGACTTGGAAGGCAGCAGTCACATTGACTGAGTTTGTCATGTACTGTATGGTCTGAAGCATGTCATTCAGCTTTTCTCAGACTCAGATTTCTCAGCAATAAAATGGGGAAGTTATTTGTAAGGTGGCATAGATGATTAAATGGAAGCATGTATATAAAGTATTTCAGCCCGGTGCCTGGCATGCCGTGGGTGCTGAGAATGACAGTAGCTGACTTGTAATGACAGTAGCTGGCTACTGGCTACTGTGTAAAGTACTGTAGCTTCTATGCATTGGCACAATTTAGTCCTCACAATGAGCTATGCAGGAGCTGGGAAAATAGCAGGGCAGGCTGCCTGGTTTCAGATCCCAGCTCACGATCTTTTCGTTGTTTTTTTTGTTTGTTTGTTTGTTTATGTGTTTTGTTTTTGTTTTTATTTTTGAGAGAAAGTCTCACTCTGTTGCCCAGGCTGGAGTGCAGTGGCACCATCTCGGATCACTGCAACCTCCGCCTACTGGTTTCAAGCGATTCTCCTGCCTCAGCCTCCTGAGTAACTGGGATTACAGACATGCACCACCACACCTGGCTAATTTTTGTATTTTTAGTAGGGATGGGGTTTCGCCATGTTGGCCAGGCTGGTCTCGAACTCCTGACCTCAGGTGATCCACCCCCCCGCTTGGCCTCCCGAAGTACTGGGATCACAGTCATGAGCCACCATGCCTAGCCGCTCTTGGTTTAAGTTTTAATTTTCAGAGGCCCATCCAGAGGGAAGAAAATAAAGTAGCTAAAGCAGCAAACACTGGCCGAGCATGGTGGCTCATTCCTGTAATCCCAGCACTTTAGGAGGCCAAGGCAGGGGGATTGCTTGAGGTCAGGAGTTCAAGACCAGCCTGGGCAACATAGCAAGACCCCATCTCTATAGAAAGTAAAAAGATTCCTTTCCGTAGAACATAGCTAATTTTTTTTTTAAGTACAAAAATTAGCTGAGTGTAGTGTACACACCTGTAGTCCCAGCTACTTTGGAGGCTGAGGCAGAGGCTAAGGAGGATTGCTTGAGTCCAGAAGTTTGAGTCTGCAATGAGGCAGTATCACGCCATTGCATTCCAGCCTGGACAACAGAGTGAGACCTTGTCTCAAAAGAATAAGCGGAAGAAGCCGGGCACGGTGGCTCACGCCTGTAATCCCAGCACTTTGGGAGGCCGAGGTGGGCAGATCACCTGAGGTCAGGAGTTCAAGACAGCCTGACCAACATGGAGAAACCCCATCTCTACTAAAAATACAAAATTAGCCGGGCGTGGTGGCACATGGCTGTAATCCCAGCTACTTGGGAGGCTAAGGCAGGAGAATCGCTTGAACCTGGAAGGTAAAGGTTGCGGTGAGCTGAGATCGCGCCATTGCACTCCAGCCTGGATAACAAGAGCGAACCTCCATCTAAAAAAAAAAAGAATAAGAGGAAGAAGGAGGAAGAGAAGGATAAGTTCTGAAAATATGAATGAGGATGTCTAAATTGTATTCAGTGGCGATTTCTCCCTCCTTTTTAAAAAAAAGCCTTTCAGCCGGGCGCGATGGCTCACGCCTATAATCCTAGCACTTTGTGAGGCCGAGGTGGGCGGATCACCTGAGGTCGGGAGTTTGAGATAAGCCTCACCAACATGGAGAAACCCCGTCTCTACTAAAAATACAAAATTAGCCGGGTGTGGTGGCGCATGCCTGTAATCCCAGCTACTTGGGAGGCTGAGGCAGGAGAATCGCTTGAACCTGGGAGGCGGAGGTTGCGGTGAGCCGAGATCACGCCATTGCACTCCAGCCTGGGCAACAAGAGTGAAAATCTGTCTCCGGGGGGGGGAAAAAAAAAAAAAAAAAAAAGGCTTTCAGTTCCTTAGGAAAATGAGTTTATGTTTTCTATATCTGCTTAACATTATACAGACAACTAAATTCAGAAAATATGATTTAAACATTTGTATTCACTTCCTGACTGTTTAACCTTGGACAAGGTACCAAACCTCTCTGTGCCTCTGTTTTCTGATCTGTAAAATAGAGGTACAGTAATAATCCCTACCCACAAGCTTGCTTTGGATAAATGACTTGATTTTTTTTTTTTTTTTTTTTTGAGACGGAGTCTCGCTCTGTCGCCCAGGCTGGAGTGCAGTGGCCGGATCTCAGCTCACTGCAAGCTCTGCCTCCCGGGTTTATGCCATTCTCCTGCCTCAGCCTCCTGAGTAGCTGGGACTACAGGCGCCCGCCACGTCGCCCGGCTAGTTTTGGGGTTTTTTTTTTGTATTTTTTAGTAGAGACAGGGTTTCACCGTGTTAGCCAGGATGGTCTCGATCTCCTGACCTCGTGATCCGCCCGCCTCGGCCTCCCAAAGTGCTGGGATTACAGGCTTGAGCCACCGCGCCCGGCCATGACTTGATATTTTTAATTAATTTTTTTAGAGACAGAGTTTCACTCTGTGGCCCAAGGCTGGAGTGCAGTCTCATGATCAAAGCTCACTGCAGCCTCAGCCTCCTGTCCTCAAGTGATCCTCCTGCCTTGGCCTCCCAAAGTGCTGGTACTACAGGTGTGCACCACCACACTGGGCTTTTTTTTTTTTTTCTTTTAGAGACCGAAAATACAGATCAATGCTTATACCTGTAGTATAAGCAGCATTTAATGATCTGACACTATTATTAACCCAACCTCACAGATGAAGAAATTGAGGCTCATTAAGGCTTTGCCCACGATCATTCAGAGAAAGGAAGAGCCTAAATTTAGCATTTTAAAAACTGCAGCTTCACTTTAGGGGCACACATTTTAAGAGGATGCCTCAAGAATGTTTACATATGTTTACACTGGTGATCAATATAAGGGCATTTCCAACACTTCAGAAGGTTCCCTGGGGTCTCTTCCCAGTCAATATCTTCCCCAAGTTAAACACTGTTCTGATTTTTCATGATAGATGTTTTGCTTTTCTGAATTTGATGTAAACAAAGCCATTCAGTGTGTTTCTTTATTTGTTTCTTTATTTCAGCAATAGGGAAATGAAATGTTTCTTTGATTATCTGTGGACTCTGAATTTGAAGTCCATGTACTTCCACGGTAGAAATGGCCTTCTTTTTTTTTCTTTTTTTTGTTTTTGAGACAGAGTCTCGCTCTGTTGCTCAGACTAGAGTGCAGTGGCACAATCTTGGCTCACTGCAACCTCTGCCTCCTGGATTCAAGCAATTCTCCTGCCTCAGCCTCCTGAGTAGCTGGGATTACAGGTGTGCACCACTATTTTTAGTAGAGATGGGGTTTCACCATGTTGGTCAGGCTGGTCTCAAACTCCTGACCTCATGATCCACCCACCTTGGCCTCCCAAAGTGCTGGGATTACAGGCGTGAGCCACCGCGCCCGGCCGAAATGACCTTCTTTACCTTTTATCCTACACTGCCTACAATAACTACTTAGGACTGCTTTTTTGGGGGGGCAGGGTCTTGCTCTGTTGCCTAGGATGGAGTGCAGTGGTATGATCATAGCTCATTACAGCCTTGAACTCCTTCCTGGGCTCAAGCAATTCTTTTCATTCTTTCGCTTCATCCTTTCAAGTACCTGGGACCACAGGTATGTGTCATTGCACTGGACTATTTTATTATTATTATTTTTGAGACACAATCTCGCTCTGTTGCCCCAGGCTGGAGTGCAGTGGCGCGATCTCGGCTCACTGCAAGCTCCGCCTCCCGGGTTCACGCCATTCTCATGCCTCAGCCTCCCCAGTAGCTGGGACTACAGGTGCCCGCCACCACGCCTGGCTAATTTTTTGTATTTTTAGTAGAGACGGGATTTCACCGTGTTAGCCAGGATGGTCTCGATCTCCTGACTTCGTAATCTGCCTGCCTCGGCCTCCCAAAGTGCTGGGATTACAGGCATGAGCCACCGCACCTGCTGGTGTTTTTTGTTGTTGTTGTTGTTTTTTGTTTTTTGAAACAGAGTCTCTCTCTGTCGCCCAGGCTGGAGTGCAGTGAGGAGATCTCGGCTCACTGCAACTTCTGCCTCCCGGATTCAAGTGATTCTCCTGCCTCAGTCTCCCGAGTAGCTGGGATTACAGGTACCCGCCATCACGCCTGGTTAATTTCTGTATTTTTATTAGAGACGGGGTTCCCCATGTTGGCCAGCATGGTCTTGAACTCCTGACCTCAGATGATCCACCCGCCCTGGCCTCCCGAAGTGCTGGGATTACAGGCGTGAGCCACCACCCCGGGCTGTGCAGCTGCTCTGATTTCCCCCTCCCTCCTTTTCCTTCTTTGAACACGTGCCTGAAACGTAGCTGTCCATCAAGTCACCAATGGATTCTAACTGGCCAATTCTAGGCAAGGCTTGCTGGAACCGCCCCCCAGCCCCCATAGGAAGCAAATGATAGGGCACATGTATCAACTGGCTGGCCAATGGGAGGATGGCATCTTCTAGCCAGTCCACCAACGGGAGAGCATACTCCTGCCCTCCCCAACTGCCTCTGCAGAGTAGCCTCGTGCCTTTGCAGTTTGACACCTTCCATTTGTCTCAAGAAGGTCCCTTGGAAGCCACTTCAGGAAGGCAGGATGACAGGGCCTGATTCCCTTCATCCTGCCTGTGCCTGCCCCAAACCTCTGCTCCCCAGAGT